CCTCCCCTCCGCGCGGCTCTCGCCCCCAATCAGGTTTCAGACTTCTTTCTGTCTAGCTACACCCCGTGCGACCTCTCAGACCCGCCTTCGGGCACCTGCCCGGATTCCGCCCTCAACATAAACCCTAAAACCGGCGCCGTGCTCGCCAAGACGCCCGCCGCGGCGCTCGCCCTCAACAACGTGAAGCTCGTCTCCGCCTCGCGCGCCGACGGGATCACCACTCTGCGGGTGTCGCGGCCGCTGGCGGCGGCGGACGTGCTTGATCACAAGATTGACCCCGCCGCCGCCCTCAACTACATTTGGGCCCACGGGCAGGTCTGTGGCCGGCCACGCCGTGCCGATCACACGCAACGCAGGCGACGCCACGTCAGCATTTGCAGTCCTTCAGGGGCCGGCCATCAATGGTGGCGGCGATAGGGACGCACAAGCACTTGACAGCCAGGCGGCATTGCCCAGACCCACCTGTGCCCTTCCCCCGCACATGCACCCCACCCCTGGCATGCCCCAGACCCCTCATTCTTGCTCATCCGCAACCGCGCCCAACCCCCCCTCCCCGGCCCCCCCCCACCGCAGCTCTCGGCGCCAGACCCTGCCGCGACGCCGCAGGCGCGCGACCCGGCAGTACGCCTACGCCAGCACGGCTCGTCCCGGGACGCGTACGGCGAGATGGAGCAGTTCAAGCTCTCCTCCTGCCCCAAAGCCTGCCCCAAGCTCGTCCCCTCTGGCGAGAAGGACCCCCCGCCGCCGCCGCCGCCCGTCGCGCCCGCGCCTGCCGCGGCCAAGGCCGCCGACGTCGGGCCGCTGCTGCTGGCCGGCAACGGCGCGCGCGTGTCGTGGGAGCTGAAGAAGGGCGCGGCGGGCGCGAGCGGCGTGCTGTTCTCGTTCAAGGCTGCGAAGAAGTCGCAGTGGGCGTCGCTGGCAATCGGGGAGGAGATGGTGGGGGCGCGGTCCTACATCGTCTGGAAAGACGGCAAGACCGGCGCGCTCAAGTCGGGTGCGGGGCGGGCGCAGCGCCGCTGCTACGGCCCGCGGCAGGGGTTGTGACTCGGAGGCTAGGGGGCGAGTCTCGCAGGGGCGCGGGCCCGGAGCCGTGTCGGGCGGCGGCGGCGCGGATGGTCGGGGGCCGCAGGCGGTTTGGCAGCCTGAAGGAGGGCGCCCAGGCGCCGCTCTACCCTGACTAATTTTGGCGGATGTCTGCGCTTGCGTGAAGGAATGCGGCCTGCAATTTGCAGCTTCAGATGCCACCTGCGCTCCCCCACACCACCCACCTAAACACGTGTTTGCGCGCGCGCACATACACACACACACACACACACACGCTAACACACTTCTGCACACACACTGCATACTCAACCTATCAAGACGAAGCGTCAAGCACAAAGGCTGATCCCTCTTTATCTTTGGCCACCCCGCCCTACCCCGCCCTACCCTGCAGGCGTGTACGACCTGGAGTCTTACAAAGCCGCCGGGATCAAGCTCCTGCCCCCTCCGCCGGCCGCCGGCCCGACCGCATCGCCGCACGGGGGGGTCGTGTCGATGGCGGCCGGCAAGGACGGCCTGCTGTCGTTTGACGCGTGGGTGCCGCTGCCGCAGGGCGCCAAGACGCTGCCGCTGCTGTGGGCGCTCGGGGACGACTGGACGCAGCCCCCCAAGGAGGTCGCGCGGGTGCGTTGGTGGTGTTTTGGCAGAGGGGTCGGCGCGGGCTGGGGTGTAGCTCACCTGTTCTGGCGGCAGTGCGTGGCGAGGCACCCCTCCCGTGCCAAAGCCAACTTCTCCGCGAGAGGACTAAGTGTTTGCACGCCACTCATGCACAGCAAACACACATACCAATGCAGGCACGCACATTCTCATCACCACAAAAGCAAACAGCACACAAAGTCGCCCACAAACAACACACACACACATGTACACACACACACACACACACACACACACACAAACGGCACGCAACAATACGTCCCTCATGCGCACCCTATCCCCTTGATCCGCAGCACTATGACTGGTCCAGCAAGGCCACAAAGGTTGATGTCACAGTGTCAAGGGCGGCCGCGCCGCCAAAGGCGCGAAAGGTCATGGTTGCGCCCCCCAACTGCACCCTCAAGCACCAGTCCGAGATCCTGCGGCTGGGGGACGGCTGGTGCGACGAGCTGGCGCCCTACAACACGCCGGGTGCGGGGGGGCGAAGAGTGGACAGTTATGACAGCTGACAGGGCAGCAGGATTGCTTGCATCTTGGTGCTCAGGTTGTTGAAGATGAGGGGACAAGAGGTGTGAATAGTTGGTCACACATGCCGAAAGGGGACAGGGGAGTCCAGCAAGAGAATCATGCAGGTCTTGCCAAGATGAAAGCGGACGGAAGTGGGGCGGGCCTGGCGAGGGGGCCAAGGGGCGCCGTCTTTGATGCTGTTCAGGCGCGGCCCTTGTTTTGACTGTGCCCGCTGCATGGTTGTTGATGGCTCCATCAGCGCGCAGCACGCTCTCACGCACGGGCTCCGCAGCCCTCGCACCTGCCATCCACATCCCTTTCCCTCCACCCCCCCTCCTCCTTGCCCGGCTCCCCGCTTCCGGTAAGGGGGGACTAGATTTGCCCCCCTCCTCCGCCCCTGCACGTCGCCGTATGGTCGCGCTGCCCTGCCTACCACGCACCTTGAGAACGTATCGCCCCCACAATGTCAAACCTGCCCGCCCCGCAGAGTGCGCCTACGACGGCGGCGACTGCTGCAACGCCAAGGCGCCCTTCTACGACTGCCGCGACCCCAAGTCACCCCTCTTCGGCAAGGCCTCCCCCCGCGGCCTGCGCCTGCCTGCGCCGCGCAACCCTCGCTACACCGAGGGCATGGGGCGCGTGCTGTCCACCAAGCAGCTGGTCACGACCTACAACAACTTTTACGAGTGAGCGGCCGCCCCTGGTGCCGCTGCTCTTGTGTCCCTTGCTTGCTCATGCATCCCTTCTGCATCAGAAGTTGCGCGCCTTGTAAACACACAAACACAGACACACACAAACACACACACACACATACACACATACACACTCTCATGCAGCACACACACACGCGCTTACCCACATGCACACGCACACACACGTACACACGCACGAAACACATACAGCACATACATACACACATACACACAACTCATGGAACACACACAAGCTCACACACTCACAAACACCCACACACACACACAGGTTCTCTACGGACAAGAACGCCTACGCCTACGTGACCCCCGAGGCCCGCCAGGCGATGGAGCTTGCCAACCCCAAGTTTGGGGGGTGGGCCATCACCATTGACGGCCTGGTGGCCAAGCCAATGAAGCTTGACGTGCGTGACATCATCAACATGTTCCACATCGGTGGGTGGGGGTGTGGGGGAGCGGGCGACGGCGTGGTTTTGTGTTGGAGCCGTCCATGGTCAATGTGACAGGGTCGATGAGCGGAGTGTTTGCCCATATGCCTTTCAGGGGGCAGGCGGGTGAGAGGGAAAGGGGCGGAACGGGAACTCGAGAAGGGGGGAGGGGAGAAATGGCCGCTGATGGGGAACGCAGAGAGTTGCCCGGGGAGGGGAGGGCCCTGCCATGCTATTCCACAGCACGCTCGCTGTCCGTGCATTGCTGCAGCACCGACCCACCCCCATCACGTGCCCCTGTCGCAATCGCCCCCCCCCCCCAAAAAAAAAACCCCAAACCCCAGAGGAGCGCATCTACCGCCACCGCTGCGTCGAGGCGTGGGCCATCGTGGTCCCTTGGATCGGCTTCCCCCTGCGCAAGCTGGTGACCGCCCTGAAGCCCCTTCCTGGCGCCAAGTACATCCGCTTCGAGACCGACACGGGGCCCTACCTGCCAAACATCAAGTCGGCCATCAGCCCCAACGCGCCCTGGCCGTACGTGGAGGGGCTCGCAACCTTTGTGAGTGGTTTTTGGTCGGGGCCGCGGGAGCGTTGGCTTCGAGGGCCTGAGGTGCAGAGTCCGGACCGGGCTGGTTGGGGCGCCAGCGACGCGATCACTCGCGGCAGGTCGACGCAGACACGGAATCCCTCCTGCCGCCACCGCCACCACCGCCTCCATCCCGGGATCCAAAACCTCGCAGGAGGCGATGAATGATCTGGCCTTTGTCTCCATCGGCCAGTTCAACTCCACGCTCACGGCCCAGTCCGGCGGGCCCATCCGCCTGAACGTGAGCGGGGCCGCCGGGCCGGCGCGCGCCCCGCGTCCAGCGGCCCCTCATACTCTCCATCCGGCGGCGTGGGAGTGTCGACCCCGGCCTTCCCGACTGTTGGTTTTAAGGGCGTCCGGTGCATATCCCGGCTGCACCTGTTGGGATGCCTGCATCGTCGCAGAGTCTGCCACCGCCCCACAGCCTCGCGCCGGTCGCGCGTCCGACCGCGCGCCGCTCGCGCCCTCGGTCATGCATGACGCCCTCCGCCAACCATGGGCACGCCGCTGCGCAC